GCACACTATAGACACCTTTTTTATCAAAATGCCACATAAGTTGGTCTTGTCTCTCTATTATGCTAAGGGAATATTAAGAATAGTTCTAATATCATTAACACAAAAACAAAGAGGTGATCTTATCAAAGTCCCATTTTTTTCTCACCCTTCCCTAAAAAGGTCTTTCACTTCCATGGATAATGAACTATTCCACATCGACAACCACAAAATTATCATCTCTCGTAAGCCATGGGTCTTTTACTATATTGATACTCTCACAATTACCAACTCTCCATCTCACACCTTTTTTCAACACTTTGTTAGAAGACAAAATACCTTCCACATAAAACTAGGATTACGACCTAGAGAAGCATTCAGAAAATTTCCATCCCAAAAATATTTAGCTTTGAAAATTTTATAAAAAAGAGTATTAGGTTCAGTTAATAACCAACACCCTTATTTTGCTAGCAAGCCCAAATTAAAACATTGGAGGTCTCTAAAACTAATTCCCTCATCTCTCTTAATGCCACACATCCTTTTCCAATTAAGCCAATGAATACCTCTAGTCCTCTCCTTATTACCACTCCACCAATATAAGTTCATGATTTTTTGAAGCTCATCACACAACCCACAGGTAACTCAAAGACACTCATGCAATATGAAAGAATCGCCTGAGCAATAGATTTTAGCATAATCTTTCTCCTAGTCCGAGATAAAAATCTATTAGATCAGCTGTTAATTCTTTTCCACAATTTATCCTTAAGGAAATTAAAATTTTGTGTTTTATTCTGACCAACAAGAGAAAGGTAAGCCAAAATATTTTCCCTCCTTGATAGAAGTATGAATCACTAAGATATTAGATATACTAAACTTAAGAATTAACGTTAGAATTGAACAACATTTCAGATTTTTGGAAATTCATCGACTAACCTGAGGCCCTCTCATATTCCTGTAAAATAAGCTTCACTCTACTCTCCCCCAATACATTAACATCAAAGAAAAAAAGAGTCATTAGCAAACAGTAAATGAGAAATTTTAGGACAACCTTTATCTACGCTACCACCATAAACCCAACCCTTACTCTTTGCCTCAGAAAATAAAAGAGACAGCCCCTAAGCACAAATAAGAAAAAGGTACGATGAGAGAGGGTCACTCTGCCTTAACCCTCGCCCAGGAATAATAGGACCCACCTCAACCCCATTAACTATAATAGAATATTTAATATCTTAAACACACATCATCGTCCACTGATCTCATTTATCAGAGAAACCTAGACCAAATAATATATCTCTTAGGAAATCTCAATTAACCCTATCATAATTTGCTAATGTTTATCTTAAGAGCACAGGACCCACACCCACCCCTCTTTTTCTATTTCATATTATGAATCATTTTAAATGCTACAATCACATTATCCGTAATAAGTCTGCTAGGCATAAAAGCAGAATGACTCTCAGAAATTACATTAGGTAAAAAAAAAAAAAAAAAAAAAAGTCTGCTAGGCATAAAGGCAGGAATGGACTCTTAGAAATGTACATTTAGGCTAAAAAAAAAAAAAAAACATTAGGTAAAAAAAAAAAAAAAAAAATCAGTCTACTGGCTAAGACTTTATATAAAATCACATTACACAAAGAAATAGGTTTATAATCTTTCATGGATCTAGCATTCTCAACTCTAGGCGCCATAATAATTAAGAGTATTAGTCAAAGAAGCAGGAAAATTCCTCTCTAGAGCCTATCTTTGCAGCCAATCACTACACCATTGCCTATAATGTGCCAAAATTTCTAAAAGAAAGGATGGATTTAAGTCGTCTGGACTCGAGGCCTTATCAGGGAGCATCTAAAAAACTGCCTCTCTAAACAACTCGTATGAAATAGGACGAATAAGAGTATCATTACCATCTCAAACTCAAGGTCTGACCAAATTAAGCAATCATGCTCGATCAGAATCTGACTTCTCAAACACAAAATTATAATAATTTAAAACTGTATTTTGAATACCCAAACTATCTGTCACACAGGTCCACCTTTCAGTTTACAAATTTTATTCTTTTTGCGCGAGCTTTAATCTTAGAGTGGAAAATTTTGCTATTTTTCTGACTGTGCCTAAGCCAGAATTGTATACTGCATGTTAGTAATGTTATTATAAATTTAGGCGTACAGATGTGGGATAATATCCATACTCGGTTAAAATTGAGTTTTTAACTATCTAAATCAATTTATATTTCTACCAAATTTAATATTCATAAAAACAAACAGTACTATTCACGAGTTAAAATTACTGGTCATTCCTTGAAATGACCTTGAAACCACTTTTCATGATCCCGAATGTCATTGTCCTTGATCCAGATTATGGTGCGTTACAATAGAGAAATACATGCAATGATGCATAAAAGCATATACATTTTTTTGGGGCCTAATATATAAATTTGACCTTGAACTTTCGACGATATCTTTATGGCTCCCTAAACTTTTCTTGGGACCTATCACGATCTTATATTTTCACATTCTAAACTTTTCTGGAGACCTATCATGATCTTGCACTTCACATTTCAATAATAACTTCGCCTCTTGCCAAAATGAAACATGAAAGCATAGAGCCATAATTGAAACACCTTAAAATTTTTTATTTTGATAAAAGGTATAATTATTACTGAAATATAAAAACATATAATAATAATTAGACCAACAAAGTTCAAGAGTCCACGATGTTCATAATCAAATTGATAGGTGTTCTTTTTATAGTATTTTTAATATAATTTTTATTAGAATTTTTAGTATTTTCAATTACTTTAATTAGTTTTTATTTAGTTTTGAATTTTTAGTATTTTCAATTACTTTAATTAGTTTTTATTTAGTTTTATTTATGTTTTTATTTAAAGCTTTCTTGAATTACATTTCACTTGATCTTAGGGTATTTTGTTGAATTTTTATAGAAAATCAACCAAAATACAGAAAAGAGTGTTCCTAAGCAGAGGCTAGCATGCTCAAGCCGTGTCATATAGCACACCCGTGTTGAATGCCTAACTTCATATTGGACCGAAAACAACAACTCTAGCCCGTGCCGCTTGCACGGGCCCGCATGAGATCTTTTCTGACGTGCCAATCAAGTTTAAATCCTATTCTGACGTGCCAATCAAGTTTAAATCCTATTAGATGTTGGGAGAGTCCTAATTGGGAAGAAATACAAAGCCTCAACAGTTTTCTATCTCCAAAAGATTTCTTACTCAACGAGATTCACTTTCTTAAACGAACATAAAGATAATCCAAAAAGTCTATATAAAGAGAGAGTTTCCCCCCTGTCGAATCCATTCATTGTATATTCCATCTCTGGTTATATAATCTTTTGTTCTATTATTTTTCTCTCTTTAAGACTTTAAGTGATCTAGCATTGTGTCAAGATTCAAAGAAATCGTCCACGTTATTTGATTAGTTTTTATTTCTAAACTCTTAATCTTGTTTTTTACTTTTTATTATTCACATTGATTATGGAATTATTATCAAGTTTAATTGAGTTTTATTTAATTTTACTATGTCGAACTAAAACTCTCATACTAGGGATTTGATGTAACTTAATTTCTTTTCCAATTTATAATATTAGATTTGTTTTTCTTTTTTCAAAGTATAATTTATTATTGAGATTAATGATTCGAGGCAGAGTTTCTCCCCAGATTGACTTATTTCATTAATCACTATTGGGAGAAGGGTTTTTGATGAAAAATGTAATAAATTACATGAAAATAATAACTTGATGTGAAAGCTATATTATTTGACTCATGGGGGTTTTTCATAAGTTAACTACCTTAGGTTATGAATTCATAATCAAACCATAAAACTTAATGATTTAATTCATGTTTGACCATAAAACTTAATGATTTAATTCATGTTTGATTGCACTATTGGAAGATAGGTAATTAGACCGGGTTAAAATAACTAATAATACATCGGGAGAGTTAGTTAGTGATTTTAGGGTTATTTCTCCTACTTAACAATTAAAATTAATTAATGAACTAATAAAAATAAATTGGATAGAATTAAATGAAGTCAAAATCCCTAGTAGTCTTTAATCCTTGATTTGTTTTAATCAAAAATTGCTTGCTTGATTTCTTTTTATCATCTTTATTTGTTGAATTTAATCTCTAAAAATAATTTCCCTAAATCGTTGTTTAAATAATAGTAGTTTGACATAACTTTGGTACTTAGTATACAATCTTATAGAAACGATATTCTATTCATTCTACATTACTTATTGCAATTTTATACACTTGCGAAATTACTTGTTGCAATTTCGTACACTTGCCAAATATCACTGTCATAAATTTATGTACTACGCAGTTTTTGGGTACCTGACCATCTCTGTTCCCATTATATAGCATTTAAAAATTTACATTTATAAATAAATCTGGAGTAAAGATCAGTTCAAAAATAATTTTAAAATAGTCGAACCCATTTGTACAAATAAACATTAATTAAATATAATTTGAACAAGTTTAGACCATTATAAATTATCATTATCAAAATATTTTATTAAATAAACTTTCAATTTGATCATTCTCAAACATTATTACTTCTATAAAATATAAATCATTATTTAGTTTTTTTAGAAAAATATCCAATATGATTACTCTAAGCCAAAAAAAAAAATAAAAAATAAAAGGAAGTTCTCTTTAAAAAAACAAAAAAAAAAAGGAATTTTTATCTAACCACTTCTTTGTCATCTCAACTTTCAACTAATAAGAAACAATTCGGTAAAATTAAATGTTTCGATAGTTGTTTTAATAGCATTTGAATAATTTTTCATAAAACGCTAAAAACTGAATCTTAAATAGACTTACTTTTTATAAAACATTACCTTTAACTTCTAAAAGAAGAACACTAAAAGATAGCTTTTAATGTTTAAAGCTACTTAAAAAATTCATAATACTTTTATATCAATAAGACGATAACTCAGCATTCTCAATCAACATTAAAACAGAACCTTTCAATTGAATAGTAAAACTTACTCAGCGGTACAAATCTTCGTGTGATAAATTCCAAAATCTTAAACAATAAATACATATATATATATATATATATATATGATGTTCGTCCAACTTACCAAGGATGGACGTTTTACACTGCAAGAATATTTTTTTTCCTTTTCTTTTCTTTTCTTTGCCTTCAATGAATAACAGGTGATGAGACATTAAACTAAAATCTGATGACTACAATCTTGTGATGGAATCAAAACTAAAATCAAATGAAAAACATTACACAATGAAGGGGATGAATTAACATAGTACATCAGCTAACCTGGAGATAAAGTTAATCCAGTTCTGCAATTAGCAACCAGAACAAAAGAAATTACCTAATCCCACCAAAAACAATGCCTCAACAGTGAAAGACAGCAACCATAGGAATGATGCTCAAGCAGCAATGGCATATGTGATAGTCTCAAACTCTTTCGGTCGCCATATGGATTTCTCTACATAAAGCAATCCCTCCTTGTCCTTCGAGTAGGTCATACGGACCTCCCAATGCATAGATCTTAGGATGCTCTCTAGTTCGCTAATAGTCTCAACATTGTCTCGGACAATTAGCTTTCCTTCTGGCCGAAGTATCCGATCAACCTCCACAACTACAGCCACTAGATTGCACCTGTGACACCCACAAAGAGTAATATTAGATTGCAGACTACTTGACATACTGAATCATCAGTGAGAACAAAAAAAATTTGAGAATTATTTGTACGCACCTCTTTTTAATCTTTGAGAAGAGATGATCTGCATGGAGAAGATCGTAAGATCTAGGATAGGTGTTAAATGATTCACACCAATCATGGTAAATACCAAAAAGACCACGCTCATAAATTATTGGTAGAGTATCTGGGGAGTCTATAGGGACCACATTCATGACCCACACATTCAGATCCCTTAGAGCTGCAGCAAACCTGCAGGCCCACCAACATCAGAAGATCAGAACAAGATGAGGGCAAAGGATGTCTATATTTATCATGTGTGTTTGTTAAAGCGGCCTAAACCTAATCAAGAAAAGGAGACTGTTTGTCACAATCAGATGCTAATTAACCTCAATTTCAACTGAATGATCCATACAGTAATGCAAGTGTAAAAATAATAAGAACAATAATTATATCACATGGTGTAATCGTTCTGCTAACAGAAAAAAGGAAGCATCCAAATAACTGTCAGTCTTTGGACTAGGAGAAAAGGACAATTTTGCGTACCCTCCATAGATAGATCTCATGTCCATAACATTCCTCACAGATTGCCATTTTATTCCAATTCCATTTAGATAGGACTTGGACACCACCCGCTTCCAGTGCTCATAGTCATAAGTGAAATCCTTCGGTTCTGGTTTACCGTAAACTCCAACTTTGGAACTCAGCAACCAGTAAGGTGCTTTCTCCAACCTGACTGGCCACTGCTCTGGCCATTGAGATCCACGTTCTACTGAATCCACAGGAACTCTGTGCATACATGCTTGCAGTGGCACATTCCTACACAAGAATCAAACTAAGAGTTAGGGTTACAGGGTAAAAAGATTCCATTGGATTTCCAGTGACCTGCTCCAGGAACAAGGAACAACAGATTACTTCAAATAGGGTTTCCAAATTCATGTAAATGTAATTCTTTTCGGATAACACTAAAGCAGCAGAAAGATTTTCACGTGACAATTTGATAACTGATGAAATGGTAAAAACATGAAAGAAACATCCACAAGGAAATTTTAATAGCCAAAGAATCAAAGACCTCTACAGTTGATGTGAAGATTACCAGGCTGCATTAGGATCATCAGAGTCTTCACAGAGTGGAGGCATTTGTTGTGATCTTTTCTCATAGCAGTCATTGGAACTAGGCTTCCTGTACATAGCTATACCAACACCATTAACAGTATCCTTTGTCTTGGAAACAAGTTCCCAGCACATATTTTTGGTTAGCTCAGACATAGCTGCAAACAATTTTCACAAAAAGTGTAACCATTTAGAATCAATCAGCACCTTCTACGAAACCATTGCACATTTGTTAATGAAACCCTACCTTTCCAAATTTCAACATCTTCAGCAAGCTTCTGATATACTGGAGTAGCAGACCATACAAAGAAACCACCAGGTCGCAGAACACGATTCAACTCCAAAAGAAGTTTACCCCCTGCAATGCAAATTTTTTGCATTAAAGAAATGAGTTAAAAGAAAAGTCAAAATCCACCTCCTTTTGATTCTCTTACCAAACCTGTAAATCAAACCCGAATCCATGACCAACCTAAAGTATCAAAATATTTGATGGCTCGTTCAAAGGTAACCCAATGGGTAAAACTGAGAGCAAATTTTGGGTTTCAATCATTCAAGTCAACAGAAAAAAAACAAGGAGTGACTTTGAAACTGCAAGGAACAAAAAAGAGAATATTTTGATAATAACCATTCAAGTTATATATGCTCAGTTCTTTTCTTAAAGCCTTAAACAGTTGAATTAAGATGCAAACTTGCTAAACCACTTTTTATTTATTATTTATTTATTTATTTATTTATTGGCTTTTCTTTCTACTTTTCCCTTTTGTACATATAAAAATAACAACAAAAGGAAAAGTAAAACCTATATGAAGACACAACTATTGTTTTTCTTTATGTTAATCCCAAATGTTTAAACTTAATAAAGAAATAATAAAACAGAATATTTGGATTAATAAAAAAAATTTAGTTAATAAATAACTATTTTGATATGAAAGTCTAAATCACAAAACAATATGAACCCATCTAACCTAAAGAGAATACTACTAACATGCTTTAAAGATAAAAGTTAATAAACTAGTTCTACTTAAAGGTAAAAAAAAAAAAAAAAAAAAAAAGATAAAAGTTAAATAACTATTCTACCTAAAAGGTAAAAAAAAAAAAAAAGAGCAAAATTTCAATTATTTTATAACAATAATTTTAACTCCAAACTTAAATTTAAAAAAAAAAAAAAAAAGAGCAAAATTCAATTATTTATACAATAATTTTCAACTCAAATTGCTATAATTGCACAAACTAGAATAGGATTTATTATTTTTTTTAAAAAAAATTAATTTTATGAATGACCTTATCCAAAATATTTCTTTTGCAAACAAACTTGAAAAATTACCAGAAACAGTTCCAAAATCATTCTTTAGTTTAATCCTAGTGGCAACTTGAACTTGTCTAAAATCCAAAAAAGCTTAAATCCAAACCTTGCCAAGAAAAAAGCACCTGAAAGACCCATTCAGAAGTAAAACATTTTCCACTTCTGAAAAGAAGATATCTAGTAACACCATTTCATAAAAAGTTAGCTACAAGAAGACGTTAGCTCCCGAAATAAAATCTAACACAAAACAAAAATCAAAAACTTGAATAACCATTAACTTGTCTCATGTCACAACATCAAAACATACTCCCTACCTTCAATATGCCATGGAACCCTACATCGAGCACAATGGACAATATCAAAAACTCTGGCTGGAAAAGGAAGTCTCTGTGTGCCCATCACAGCTGATATAGCAGGAATCCCTCTTTCAAGAGCAAATTGCACCTGGGCTTCATGTTCATCTTTGGGGGCAAATGACATTGCAAGGACATCCCTGTCAAAAAGAAAGCCTCCAAAGCTAGCAACACCACATCCAACATCCAAAATCACACGGGAGCGTTTTCCCCACGCAATGTCAGGCAAAGTCTGCATGATAAAAATCTTAACATCAAGAACAAGAGAACAACATGCCAAATAAATGAATGTAAACGGTAATGAATGTCACAATCAAGAGACAAGCTTTTCAACATGAAATATTTAAAATGTCTCATTCATTGACTTCTTGCACCAGGAAAAATAAAAGCATTTCAATGGAGATTGAAGTGTCAATATAGGAATACTTCATAAATCTTAAGTTTTTCCAAGAGTGTAACTAAGCGTAACTAAGCTTCCTTACATTCTCAATACAAATTGCTCCTTCCTTTCACTTCCCCCATCAGGATAATTCTATTTTCTTACTTTTAATCACATGGACCTAAATAGGAAAGATACTTTCTACAAGTTCTTTTCTATTCCTATTTACACTAACTTCAGCACTGCGTTTTTGCAGTTTCACCGTCAGTTCTGCACCAGCACCAACATTTTGCAGTTCCACTGTCAGTTCTAAAAACACCTCTAACTAATTTTCAGCCTAAAAGCAATCCCTCCTCTTAACACATTTAGTATTATTTTGGCTACCATAATATTCAAAACAACTCCTATGACCTTGAATATCATGCTGATTTATTTATGAATTTGAATGCTCTTGATTCCAATTATTGTCTTATTAATACAAGATTTACCACATCAAGACCAAAATGTAAGCCTAAATCCACCAAATCTAAAGTTCAATTCCAAAGGTTTGCAGGATTCAAACTCAGTTGGACCCATCATTTGGCAGTGAAACTAAGATCATTTCTTGCTTAACTAACTCGTTAGAGCTAGGAATCTATATATTTAGGATACACGAGAGTAAGCACCCCATGGTGATAATCAAATGATTGTTTAAATGCAGGCATCTGGATCATACATAACTGCAGTCAGAACTATGTAAAAATGCAGGGGAGAAATATCAAGAATTCATGAGTTTTATCACTTGTACCAACAATTTTAATTAAATTAATCGAAAATACTTAGATAAATATTTTTAAAACACGATGCATGTACTTATAATAACATAATCCAAATATATAAATACCTAAAACCATGTCCATTCAGCAAAGAGTAGAGGAAGAGGAAATTAAGTTAAGTGAAAATCAAAGATCACAACAAATTCACAAGATAGCATATAAATAAAAAGGAGTTCAGATAGCAACTTAAATCTTTTTTCAACTGTTACCTCATTTATGAAGTCAATGTAATGTAAAGCACCATGCTTAAACTGGGTTCCACCACCCGGGAAAGTGAGGTATTCACCAGTAACTTTCACCCAGTTTTGATGCCCTTTAAGTTGTGCAAGTTTGGTGTGGGGAACATTATAGTACCATATCTGGAAAATAAAATGTCCCAACATCATTGTAAGAAAGAAAAGCAAACTGATAGTGAACTTGCATGAGCCAATTTTGCATACCTTTTCCCTGCTTTTAGGCCACTCAATTGGGCGTTTATATCCTTCAGGAAGTGGAACCAGGCAAGTTGGAGGTTCTTCAGGACAATGCCTTTCTCGATGTTCATAGTGCTTAGTACTTCGAAGACTCCTAATTGCTTGCAAATTGTCAAGACATGGGATGTAATCAGGCCCAGCAGTAACATTGCACACTTTCCAGTTGTATGTGTTTTGTTGACTAGAAGATTGTTGAACTTCCTTCTCATTCTTTGACTCTGCTGCCTGAGTTGACCATGACCCACTCTGAGTAGTGGTTTCATTCAAAAGCTCTGACTGAGCCCCCGAGGGAAATACCTCACCAGAACCCTGGTTGTTGGCTTGCTCATCAGTGGTTTTCTCTAACTCCTTTTTCTCTTTTATATCAGCATTCTCATCCATCAGACCATTCCCGGTTTTTCCATCATTTGTATCACCAGAAATCTCATCTGATTTTGTCTCTGTATCATCATTATCAGATTTCTTCTCTGTTCCACCAGAATTCTCATCCACTTTTGTCTCCGCCTCATCAATAGCTGGTTTCTTCTCATTCTCTTCCAATTCAGGTTTGTTTGCTAGTGAATTCTCTTGAGGTTGTCCAGCCACACTACTTTCAGGATCGGCAGACTTTGCCCCTCCATCTTCTGAATTCGTTTCTCCATCTCGGGTTTTCGAATCCTCATCTTCTGCCTTACTTTCTTCATTTTGCATCTCAGAATTCGAGCCATCATTAGTCTTATTCACTTCATCTTGCTTTTCCTCAGTGTTCTCTCCTTGCTTCTCTTCAATCTTCTGTTCCGGATTTATCTCCTGAGTTTCTTGAGTCCTAGAATTGTTTTCTCCCTGAGATTGACTTACGTTGTTGTCTCCTTTTGTCTCATCCTCAGGCAAATCACCTGGGCTATCCTCAAATTGTTTAGTGTTGCTTTCCTTGCTCTCAGTCACTTGCTCCTTTACTTCATTATTGTTCTCTTGAGCAGGAACATCTACACTTTGACCAGGAACTATTGATGAAGATGTCATCATCCATACCCCAACAAAGCAGAGAGCCACAAACACCACAACTGTCACTGTTGTGCAGTAATTTGTTGGTTGCCTTCTGGCATCGATTCGAGTATATTTTCCTGTGGCCATCTTTTTTTCAACTCTTTTCAATCAATAATCGAAAATCTAACCTGGAGAATGGAGATCAAATTCAAGTCAGGTGAATCTTCAAAAACAACCTACTATTAGTACCACACAGCCATTTCGAGATACCCAGTGCAATGCAATTTCATTACAGTAACAGTTATAACGCAAACATATCAATGTACACAAAATTCTGAATGTGTTACTTCCCCCATCTTGGAAATAGTTTTCTCGAACAAATCATAATTAATAAAATGGCAAGAAATACCCAGATTTATAGAGCCCTTCCATCTATATAATCAAAACATATAAATCATTTGATCCTTATAAGAAATTAAATGATGTAAAACAATAACTATCAATATCATCACAAAAAAAGAAACAGCAGAAGAAGTACAGCACCAAATCTATCTAAATTGATTCAGATCCGTACCAAACCAATATAATAACATTATCCTCTTGTATCTCCACCTTTGAATTCACTTCCCTCCCCATTCATTTTAAAAATAAAAAACTGTATACTTCTCAGAGCAAACATTTCAGTGAAGCGGCACATAATTAGAAACTAAATTCAACAGTGAAATGTAAAGGTCAGATCAAAAATGGAATTAGATCTGAAGAATACAGAGAGAAAGAAGAATGTAAATAGTTCCCAAACGTGTGAAGAAGATCTGAGGTAAATCAGCAGAGTATGAGTACCTTATGATTGAAAAAAAATGGAATTTAGCGTTCCTAGTTCATTTCTCCTCAGCTTCTGCAGAGACGAAGAGAGTTGAGGAGAGGAGGTATAACGAAAGAAGACGGAGATTAGCTGCTGGTTCAGTTATTCTAATACGGTTAGGAAGTTATGTATGTTGTTAGTACAAAATTCCTAGAATTAATGAGAAAGTAAGATTTTGCGAGAGGGAGGAAAATGGACGGCCTTTGTCAAATGAAAAGAGGAGAGAGAAGCAAGAGACGCGGCCTAAAGAATGGCGTGAAATCAGTGCACTCGCTCAGATAATTTACATGCACATGTCAGAGAAGCTTGGACAAGATGGCGTGAATCTGGAAGCTACCACCGGCTCTTTATATATATATATATATGTCCAGTCCGGAATGGTAACAAAAATAAAAATCAGATATATTAATATTCAAGAAAAGTCATTATAAGTAATATTAAATTTTAAAAATTAATTTTATAAAGAATTAAGTAAAGAGTAATTTAATAAATTTTTTTATTTTTATAGAATTTAGGTAATTTGATTATTTATTAATTTTTATAAAAATAAAAATATTAAAATTAATTGAACAGATACAGTATAATTTAATTTCTTTATCCGACTTTATGTTGTTGTATGTGAGTTTCTTTTTTCTTTTTTTGTGTCAAAAATAGAAGTTTGGCTTTGATTTTTTGAATTTTGATACTTTTGTTGGCGTAAACCTAATAAATTTTTTTTCTTATCAAGGTAATGTCAAAAGGTGGCGACTCAATTTAGAGAAAAGACATAACAACAAATATGAAATGGTTTGGTATCCTTTCTAATTCTTATTTTTCTTGAAATTAATAACCAGTCTATTAAAAAATTTAAAAAAAAAGTAAAATATAGTAAAATTGAGAGAATATCAAACAATTATGAAATGTGTTTGGATAATCACCTTCTGAATTCTTATTTTTCTTGGAAATTATAACCAGTCTAATTAAAAAACTTAAAAAAAAAGTAAAATAAGTAAAATTTGAGAGAATATATATATATATACTATATATATCATATATATAATAATATATAATAATTATAGATTTTTTAGTGAAAATAATTTATAGATTTTTAGTGAAATTTTTTTATTATGCTATTAAAAAATATTATAAAAATACATCAATAGTAGAAAAAAATATAGCGTGATTTTTTTTTATTAAAGTAAAAATTAGTAGATGGACATGTGTTCAATAATATAGATTAAAAATATTGAAATTTATAGAGATAAATAAAAAAATAAAATGAAAGGCGGTAAAATTTATTAATTTAATTTAATTTAAAATTAATGTAAAAATAATTAACTCGCTATTTTATTAGAATCATGAGATAAATAATTTATTTTAAATAACTAAAAATTGTATAAACCTTCAACTTATCATGTTATTAATACTATCATTAATCAGTTATATTTAACATAATTTAATTTAATAAAAATTTTAATTTTTAATATAAAATAATTACTGCCCATATCATCAAAAATTTATAAATTATGTAAATTATTTATATCATTAAAAGTAATATAAACGGTTACTTAACATGCTATTAATTCTCTAACGTTATATTAATTAATTACATTTAAGAATAAAAAAATGAGATAAAAAAAATTGAATAAGAACTATTAACCCCATTAGTGAAAATAGTTGAAATGTAGAAAATTCTGAACTTTTAAGAAAAATCGAATAATATATTTAAAAGCAAGGACCAATACATATTTGCTAAGAATATAAAAAAATATAGTGATAAAACTTATATATAGTATTTCTAATAAAGCAAATATGTTTCTTAAGGGTAAACAATTTAAAATTAAAAAAAAGGTACATTACTATTACCATTTTAAAATAAAAAAAAAAAAAAAAAAAAATAAAATAAAAAAAAAAAAAAACACGAACGGTTAGATAGAAATGGTAAAAGATACGTTTACGGTTGTATCTAGAGAAAACCGTTTGTTACTTCACAAATTTAGAGCAAAGACATTGTGTTACAAAAACACATTAATGTGAATAAATTCATTGTAAAAAAAAAAAAAAAAAAAACAGAAACGTTTAGATAGGAAATGGTAAAGATACGTTACGGTTGTTAGAGAAAACGTTTGTTACTTCACAAATTTAAGAGCAAACATTTGTTACAAAACACATTAATTGAATAATTCATTGTTATTAAACTTTTTCATTTTTTAAAATTTAATAATTAATGATAATTACTTAAAGTCATTAATACATTTAAATGACCAAAGCAAACCAAAAATACTAATTCAAAATAAATCCAAACCAAACTAATATATTAATACATTAAATAATCAAATCAAACCAAATCAAAAATAATAACTCAAAATAAATCCAAACCAAAAATACTAATTCTAAATAAATTCAAACCAAACTAATACATTAAATAATCAAATCAAACAATGCTAAGTGAAAACCTAATTGGAGGAATATGCCACATGTCAAATTTAAAAGCTAAGTGGATATACTATATGTCGACTTTCTAGGAAAAAAAATACTTGCTTTATATATATATATATGTGTGTGTGTGTGTGTGTGATTTAGGGACACTACAAAATAAATAAATATTCCCTCTGTTATCTTTGTCTTTATTTAGAGAAAGTTTCTATTTAGAGTGTTATTTTTATATAGAGAAATTTACTTAAAATGGAAATTTTGAAAAATGCAATTGTTCAAAGTCTAAAATGCCCTCATTTGATTTGAGTCTTTGTGTCAATTGTACACGATCATCAAGAGAAAGTGGCAGATAAAAAAAGTGTTGAAATTTAATGTCATTATATTTCCAAAACAAAAGTGAACAATTATTTTATCTCAGATTGTAAACTATCGAAGAATTAATAAATGTGCTCATATTAAAGTATATTGGACAAAAATCTTTTTCGCCTGCAGAAGTATAAGTCGTTTAAATGTGATCTATTTATAGATATGTGTTCATTTTATTATATCTATCTACCGCTATTATGTTTTCGAAAACTCCTTCTTGGTAATCAAGTAAGTAGTTCAACTCTGGCAGTTGAAAACTAGTACGCCTATCTTCATAATATGTGCCCGAATTAGTTTGAATGTCATTGGGATAGAAAATGATAAATTTATAAGGTACGAAAAATTATTGCCCTTATTTTTGAAAACTCTATGAATATAATAACATATTCTAGATTTGGTAGAAATTTATATATAGCCACGTTGTAGAAGTTATAGGAGACTATTATAGTATCAAAAAATTTGACTCTAAATTTTCGTTAAATTTGGATGTATATTATTGAAATCGCTCAATACTTGATATAAATGAGAGAAAATCAAAATTTCAAATTGTAAAAATCAAATTTGAAAAATTTTTAATTCTCAAAACAATTATAGCATTTCTTTAAATATTTTGTTCATTTCGAGCATTAATTGCTGAAAGAGTGTGCCCTTGGGACTCGCTCTTTATGAGTTGGCTCCATTATAATTAATAAAATAATTTAATGCAAATTAAAGGTATATTAGATAAAAAGTGAAAAAGTATCCAAATTAACTACCACCTTAATTTATGTACATTTCCTATTTTCTCTAAATAAAGAGAATAGAGGGAATATGAAAGTAGTATTTTGACAAAAATAATACTCTTGTAAAGACAATAACCAAATGTAATGCCAAAGGAAAACTATATATAAATCTAATATTTATTCTACCATAGAGAAGGAATGTTTCGCTAAAACCACCAATTTAGTTGGTGGTTTCAAAGTAATATAAAAAGTAACTCGTATTGATAATTAGTCAATAAAAAATAATCAGAGAAATAAAAAATATTTTTTATTTTGTATTAAAACCACCAATTCAAAATAAATATTTTAAATTATTAAATGGATTTTTGAGTAAGACACACAATTCATTGGTATTTTTAGTACAAATAGGAAATTGACTACTCGTTAGTGAAAGTACACGAGAATAGTATTTTGTTAAGAATCTACTGGGTTAGTTAATAGTTTCAATAAAAAATAGTTATTTACTCAAAATACTTTTTCACTAAAAAATGCACATCATCTTGTGGTTTTGATGCATAAATATTTCAGAAAAAATTACAATAAGATCCCTATAATTTGCAAAAGACAACTAGTCAATCTCTGGTTTTTAGGAAATAGACTAAAATGTTCTAATAGTTTACTTCTATCAGAGTATATAGGCTTTTCATCCATTTTTTGTATCATTTCCGTTAAGTACCTTATGAAATAACGAAAATACCCCTTTTATTTTTAAAAAAACAGAAATGGACTAGTTATATTTTTCAAATTAGAGGGATTGCACTGTAATTTTTTTGATATAATATTTTTCTAGTATTTTCAATCTCCTTTGACCTTTGTGTTTTCTTGTTGACTTGACGAAAAAGATGCACAAACTGGACAAAAGGACTTAATAGTGTAACATAAACAAAATATCAGGACAAATTAGTATATTTTAAAAAGACGGGGATAAACTAATTGTATTTCACAAACTACAAGAATCATACTGTAATTTTTTCTAATATTTCAAGTCAAACAATAAAAATATAAGCTTCCTTACACACTTAAAAATTACCATAAATAATAAAGTGCTTTAAGTTGAATTTGTATTATGCTAAAAATTAGGCGAATGCCTGCAGTTTGCACGTGTTGCTAAGTTATTGTATATTATACACCACAATTGCTAGACCTTGATTAACTTAAGAATTTTTTTTATTTATGCCTTTAGATAAATTTTCAACTCATCTAAAATGTTGTAGATTTAAAATCAAAATATTAAAAAATTTAAAAATTTAAAACTAAAAATATTAAATTCTTAAAATATTAATAAATATTAGATGCGAATAGATACAAATATTTTTTTTTTATTTATGCTTTGATAAATTTTTCAACTCTATCTAAAATGTTGTAGATTTAAAAGAGTACAAAATATTAAAAAATTTTAAAAAATTTAAAAATCTAAAAATATTAATTCTTTAAAAATATTAAATAAATATTGAGATTGCGAATCACACACCACACATGATTTAATTTAAAAAACTCTTTATTATATATATATATAATATAGGATATATTATATAAGATAATTATAGTAGTATAATATATATTATAATAGTATATATAAATATCATACTATATTATATATATATAAAGTATATATTCCCATATATATCATTAGATTTTCATTCTTCTCCTGCGAAGCCATGATAAAGTCACTGGAAGCAGGTTAATATACTTCTCCTCCTCCTAATTGGCTTCAAACTAATATTTATTAATATTTTGATCTTAATTTTAAACTTTTATAAATAGGTTAGATGGACCATCAAAATACAAAAAAATAAAATAAAAACTTGAAAGTTACTAAAGAAAAAGAAAAATACAAAGTGAGCTTCTATTTTATATTAGTTTTAGTACTTTGAATTTCATGGGGAGCACCCATTAACGCAAAAGACAAATTTTAATTATTAAAAATAACCATGATCATATTTTAATAAATTAAAGTAAAATGTTATAGCTTTAATAACGTTAGTAGGTTCAAATTTAGATACTCAAAAAAACAAAAAAAAAAAAAAAAAAAAAAAAAAAAATCTTAAAAAAAAAAAAAAAAAAAAAAATCTTATATGCATATGAATTAATATGAACCTCAAAATTGTAAACATGAATAGAAAGGAAAGAAGGACCAAATTGCAAATGTCATCTACTTGCTCTCCATTTTCTTTATTCTACGATTCTTTCACATCCTTCTTACCTTCATTATCAATGCCTAAGCTTCGATAAATCCAAATTCAGGCTTTAAACCATTTATGTGCATTAAGCAAAGTTAAAAGGATAATATATACAATCATGCAAAATTAATACAGATTTTTATAAGTTGTATAATATTGTAAGTATAAATTGTAGCTAGAAACAAAGGAATAATATTGTCTCAAATGAAATGCAGGAGTTCAATACTGTGAAATGAAATACTGCAGATTTTTGTTGCAAAGCCTTGGTACAGCGAAAGAAACTTTCCACTGGATAGAGCATCAAACAACATAGAGAGTAGAAATTGCAGGGATTCATTATAGGGTTTTTCTAATTAGATTATGATTGGGATTTATTATTGTATATTCCTAATTAGGATTGCTAGGATCATTCAAATCGGCCTAGTTATTTACATTATGTTATTTACATTATAATTAGACTTTGATATGAGAATTATTTGAAAATAATATCATTTGAGAATTAGTTTCTCTCTTCCTTAAGGATTTGTTCCTTGTTTTGTGTCTTTGTTCCTTGTTTGTGCCTTTGTTCCTTGTTTGTGCCTTTGTTCTTTCTGGTTCTACATCAGTTACACTCTTCTTCTTGTGTCTGTCCATAGCATAACAATTAGTAACTCTGTAGAAAGAAAGAAAGAAAGAAGATCTTTCTATCACTTGTTAAGAATTCCTAATGACACCAAAAGCAGACACAAATATCATTACTAATTCATAGTAATCATTGCATAAGTATGAGAAGCAATGCTGGAGAAAGTTATGAAAATTTTTTTGCCAGAACTCAGAAATGTTATGAGAGACGGAAGTTGATTAAGTCCTGCCATATGCTAGAGGATTGGCTATTATTGCATCAGCCTTACCTTGCAAGTTGGAAGCAAGGAGTATATGATTTCCTTCATTTGATTTCGTTTAACAGGTATCTCTGAAGGCCCCGATGGCAAGAAGCCTTTATTTTTAACCATGTCTGCTCACGAGAAGTAATTCAATCAACAAAAAGTTATTGATGAAACCAAACAACAATTGGCAAATACATGATGCAGATAACCATAATGCGGGGGAATGAAAGACCATGTCAATACATTTAAATATTTAACCCTTCAAGGTAAAATGGTACTTACTGTTGGATTTAATTTTCTATTGTGGGCTTAATATGTAAAATAAATACGCACAACAGTCTAATTGTAAAGTCAATTTCAAATGTGGTCTTGATTGTGAATAATTGACTATTGAGGTATCAACTGATTATAGATATTAAGTGTACTGATTATAAATATTAAGTGTAGAGACCATTATATAATTTTTATTTTGTTAAAGGACCGAAATAGAAATTATACTAACGCTACAGGTATATAAAGGTAGTGGTCCCCAGAGGAGTTGAATACGATTCAATTTTACGTTCCTTTCGTATTGCTTCCGCTAATCGATTCTTCAATTCTCTGGAAGGCTGCAAACCTAATTCTACACATCAAGATCGACCAACAACGATGTCAGGTACGCAACCTTTTGTCAGGTACGCAACCTTTTTTTTTATTCAATAAAAAAAAAAAATTTGTTCTCACTGCTCTTGGGGAATACGAAGAACAGGTAAGAGGTTTTGATATTTAGTGTTTTGTGTTTTCTTTTGATTCAATCATGTACTGGACCCTGATTTTCACGTCGGTGGTATTTTCACGATGGTGGTATTTTATTTTTTGCTGGCCAGATTTTGTTTAAAAATTAAAAAAAAAAACCAGTATAGGTTTGTGAATTTTGATCGAAATTTTGGCTTGAGTATAACGCCATTGACGATTTCAGGGAATTATTGAACAAAGATTGTGTTTATTTCATGGTTGCCGTCGGTTTCGGTCGGTTTAACACCTGAAAACCTCTCATTTGTTGCCGCGGATTCGGGTTTGAAATTGGCAGTTTAAGGAGGATTTTGTGTTTCAACACCCGATTTTTGACTCCCTTTGGCTACCGTTCACCGTCCAATGGCGACCGGAGCTTTGTCTTCCGGTTGGAACTGGTGGTGTTGGCCGGCGGAAAGGGGGCTGGAACGGCAGGTGGAGAGAGTCGGCGGCCAAATTTTCTGGTTTCTTTGGAGAGAGTCGGCGGAAAGGAGCTTGTCTCTGATCGTTTTTTGTTTTTAAGGTTAGGGATGGAAAATTACGGTTAGATCCTTGGAAAATTTCAGATTAGGCCCTTAATTTTCTATTTTTTTGTATTAGGCCCTTAATTTTTTGTTTTTTCGTATTAGGCCCCTAATTTTCTGTTTTTCGTATTAGGCCCCCTAATTCTCTGTTTTTTTTCATATAGACCCATAGAAATATATTTAATTAAATTAGACCCCCGAACTTTATTTATTCAAATTTATTTAACTAGATTATAATTTTTTTTTATTTTTTAGGGCTAAATAATTTTAGATTATTAAATATTTAGACAATCAATTCCTTTAATTGCAATTGTTTTGCTTTAATTACAATTAAATGAATTAATTTGTCGACTTGAGATTAAATTTTGGAGTGATTAAGTCCCTATTGTGTTTAATATTTGTTAAAATAAATTGATTTGATCAATAAGTCACCTTCAATAAGTCACCAAAAGTGACCTCTATTGCTTTTGAATTGATTTATTTTAGAAAGTATTAGACAGGTGTAATTTAGAATTCGTTGCGGATAGTTAAATCGGCCCAAGGAAAGGTGCTATCTGGCTGAGTTTTGAATACATGTTTGGGGCAATAAATATGTGAATAATTGTTCAATAAGTATGTGATAATTGTTTGATTATTTTCCATGACAATGATATATCGGTCCAAAGGAAGATTTATTATTTGTCAGGACTATGTTATCAATATTTGATTGCTGCGTTGAGATACTAATTACAAGTGAATATTTTACATCCTGAGAATATTAATGTTGTGTCTGTATCTTATTTCCATTTTTGATCTCTACTTATGTGAATTGTTTCATTTGTGAATTGTGAGCTTATACTTATCTATTCGTTTATTTTCTCTGCTGTCAGCTAACATGTCATTTAATCCTGATTGTGTCCCTAAACTTGAGGGATCAAATTTTGAGTCTTGGAAATCAGACATTATGATTTTTGTGGGCTGTATGGATTTGGATCTTGCATTGAGGATGGACGAACCTGCTCCTCTTACTGCTACGAGCACTGATGTTCAAAGGGTTCAGTATGAGAAGCGGGAGCGTTCTAATCGCTTAGGTCTGATGATCATGCAGAAAGGAGTACCAGAACATGTTCGAGACTCTGTCTCAGCTGAAAAGAACAATGCTCAAAACTATCTTGCCGAGCTGGAGAGGGCTTATGTCAAGAATGACAAAGCCGAAGAGAACACTTTTAGGAAAATTAACCTCCATGAAGTTTGCTGGCAATGGTGGTGCTCGGGAGCATATTCTTAGCATGTCTCAGATTGCAAAGAGACTGAAGGTGCTGGGTATGGCTTTACCAGATGACCTTTTAGTCCATTTGGTTATGAATTCTCTTCCTTCTCAGTATGGACAAATTAGGACTTCCTATAATTGTCAGCCGAATAAATGGACTCTTAACGAGCTCATTTCTCATTGTGTTGATGAGGAGGAAAAGATGAATTCTAACAAAAGAGAGAGTGCTCATTTTGTTTCTTCAGCTGAGAAGGGCAAGAACAAGAAAAGAAAGAGGCCTTCTGCAAAGACTGTTGAAAAGGCTATTGAGAAACCTGCTGTTGCTACTGCTGTAGATCCAGTACAAAAGAAGCCTTATGTGCCAAAATGCTTCTTTTGTGGAAAGACGGATCACTTGAGAAAGGACTGTCCTAAATTTGCTAATTGGCTTGCAAAGAGGGGTAAGTACCTTGTGTAAGTACCTTGTTTTAAGTTTGTTGTGCTTGTGAAGTTAGCTCCTAAAAACACTTATTGGATGGATTCTGGTGCTACCGCTCATATAGGTGTTTCGTTGTAGGGCTGCCTCAACTACAGAAAGCCAACTGACGGTGAAAGATACGTCTATGTAGGAAATGGCGATCCGGTTGAAGTAGAGGCAATTGGACATTTTAGATTATGTTTAAATAAATTATAAACGATACTGTGACATCCTACCGAGTCGAGTCTTAGAGTCGAGTCGAGTCGAGTCGAGTTGAACCAAACCCGGTTGGGGTAGAATGGGATTATAAGTGGACTTACTTGAGTGAGAGAAAACTATGAATTCAAAAGTTTTGAGTACTGGTTGCTTGAATGAATGTGATAATCTATATATGTTAGACATTGATACTAGTTATCATGAATCCCTACATGTTACTACAAGAGGTACCAAAAGAAAGACAAGAGGTACCAAAAGAAAGTTGAATATTGATAAACTCAGCTGTACTTTGGCATAGACGTTTGGGTCATGTATCCAAATCAAGAATTGAGCGTCTTGTTTCTGATGGTATCTTAGATACACTTGATTACACAGTTTTGGATTCTTGTATTGAGTGTATTAAAGGAAAACAGACTAAATAAAAAAGACTAGGTGCCATTCGGTCATACAGACTGATTCATACAGATATTTGTGGTCCATTCCATATTGCAGCTAGAAATGGCCAAAGATATTTTATATCATTCATTGATGACTATTCTCGTTATGGTTACCTATATCTCATTCATGAAAAATCTGAGTCTTTGGACGTGTTTAAATCTTATAAAGCCGAAGTTGAAAATCAACTAGGAAAGAAGATTAAATCTGCGATCTGACCGTGGTGGTGAATATTATGGTAAATATGACTATTATGGTAAATATGACGGTTCAGGCGAACAACGTCCAGGACCTTTTGCGCTTTTCCTACAGGAATGTGGAATTGCCTCAATATACAATGCCTGGTACTCCCAGCATGAATGGTGTATCTGAGAGACGTAATAGGACTCTTATGCTCTTATGGATAATGGTAATGGAGATATGATTAGTCCATTCTACCTTAACCAGAAGTCCGCTGTGGGGTTGAAGCCGTTAAAGACAACAGCTTATATTCTCAATAGATTCATCTAAAGCAGTTGCCTAAAGACACCTTATGAACTTTGGACTGGACTTAAGCCTAAGTCTATAAGCATTTCATGTTTGGGGATGTCCCAGCCTGAAGCAGGCCTTACAAGCCGAATGAAACAAATACTGGACTCAAAAACTATCAGCAAGCTAAATTTGTTGGATATTCCTGAGGCGGTCTAGGGGTTACAAGTTTATAATCCTACTTCCAGAACTTTTTTTTGAAACGAGAATTGCAACATTTTTTGAGGATGTTGATTTTGGAGGGAGAAATAAAGAAAGAAACATTGTCTTTAAAGAGGAACCAAGTAAGGATGATTCGGTTCTCATTCCTTTTGTTGTTTCTGATAGCGTACAGACTCCAGTTGCTCCTGTCACTATTCAAGATCCAATTCCAGACAATGCTATTCTTCCTTAAGAACAAATTCAACAACCTCAAGAATTAGAGTCTGTTCAAATGCCTTTGAGGAGATCTACTAGGGAGAGAAGAAGTGAAGTGCTATTCCAGATGATTATATAGTGTTTCTTCAGGAACATGAGGATACTGTAGACATGATAGATGATGATCCAGTTAGTTTTTATCATGCTATGCAGAGTTCTGACTCTCATAAGTGAATTGAGGCAATGAACGAAGAGTATAAGTCTATGCAAGACAATCAAGTTTGGGATCTTGTTCAATTACCTGAAGGAAAGAAACCCATTGGTTGCAAATCTGAAGGAAAGAAACCCATTGGTTGCAAATGGATATTTAAAACCAAAAGGGATTCTCAAGGTAATGTGGAAAGATATAACGCACGTCTTGTAGCAAAAGGCTTTACTCAAAAGGAAGGGACTGACTATAAAGAAACCTTCTCTCCAGTTTCTTCGAAGGATTCTTTTAGGACAATCATGGACTTAGTTGCAAATCTTGATCTTGAGCTTCATCAAATAGATGTTAAGACTACGTTTCTCAATGGCAACATTGATGAAACAATATATATGGTGCAACCAGAAAATTTTGTAATTGGAGATCCAAAACATCTGGTATGCAAATTAAAGAAATCCATTTATGGACTCAAGCGAGCTTCTCGTCAATGGTACTTTAAGTTCAACTAAGTAATTGTCTCGTTTGGCTTTGAGGCAAATTGGGCAAATGATGTTGAAAAATTGTGTGTACCAAAAGTTCCAGTGTGGAGTAAGGTTCATCTTTTTTGGTTGTTATATGTGGATGACATACTTTTGCTACTAATTGTAAAGTCTTGCTGCATGAAACCAAAGTTTTTCTTTCAAAAGCATTTTGAGATGAAAGATTTAGGTGAAAGCTTCTTCTGTTTTAGGGATTTCAGAATCATCGGACCGTTCTTCAAGGGTATTTCTTGGATTACCAAAAGAGCTATATTGATAAAGTGCTCAAGAGATTTTAGTATGCAGAAAGACCATTGGATACCCCTATTGCAAAAGGTGATAAATTTAGTAATCAACAATGTCCAAAGAGTGAACTTGAAATTTAGGAAATGCAAAAGGTTCCTTATACGTCAGCTATAGGAAGTCTTATGTATGTTAAAGTTTGTACTCGTCCAGACATTTCTTTTATAGTTGGCATGTTAGGTAGATATCTCAGCAATCTAGGAATGGATCATTGGAAAGCAGCCAAAAGAGCCATGAGATATCTTCAGAGGACTAAGGGACATATGCTCACATATAGGAGATCAGATCAGCTTGAGATCATTGGGTATACTGATTCTGATTTCGCTGGAGATTTCGTTGGATGCCAAGACAGAAGAAAATCCACATCTGGCTATGTTTTTCTATTGGCTGGTGGTGCTATTTCTTGGAAGAGTGTGAAACAAACTCTAGTGGCAACCTCCACCATGTACCATGGAAGCTGAATTTGTAGCATCTTATAAGGCATCCAATCAAGCTATTTGGCTGAGAAACCTTGTCAATGGGCTGCGTGTAGTAGGTGGAATAGAAAGACCACTGAAGTTGTATTGTGACAGCAGGTCAGCCGTTTTATTCTCCAACAACAACAGGAGCTCTTCTCGATCAAAACACATTGACATTAAGTTCTTGGCTACGAAGGAGAGGGTACAGAGTGGACAGATATCCTTAGAGCATATTGGAACAAACTCTATGATTGCGGATCCGCTTACAAAGGCAGTGATACCGAAAGTTTTCAGTGATACCGAAAGTTTTCCATGAGCACACCGCTCATATGGGTATCGTTTTGTTTGAGACTGTCTAGTTTTAGTGGGAGTCTGCTCTTTATGTATACATTATGGTTTTGAATATGTTTTTGAATGCTCTATTTTGTTTTGGATATGTTTTATTATGTTGATGAAATTTTATTGAGTACTCATTTTGGTTGATGGTTACACTCTGTATTATTATTGTTTTGCTTGATCTCACTTTTGTTGGTGACCAGTTGGAAACAAACATGATGATCACATTACATTTAGTTTTCATCCTACACTTCTATAATGAATCTGTGTCATTTAGGGGTATTGGTAAGGTAGTTGATGATGAACTTAGTCATAAGATCTATGGCGAATGTTTCTTCAGCTCTTTATCAATATAATTAATGGACGAGATTGTTTTTGGATACCTCGTATGACTGCGTTTGTTGAGCTCATTTTGGTGTATGTATTTTATTTAACATAGCCCAAGTGGGAGATTGTTGGATTTAATTTTCTATTGTGGGCTTAATATGTAAAATTAAATATGTACAGCAGTCTAATTATAAAGTCAATTTTAAATGCGGTCTTGATTGTGAATAATTGACTATTGAGGTATCAACTAATTATAGATATTAAGTGTAGAGACCATTATATAATTCCTATTTCTTTAAAGGACCGAAATAGGAATTGTACTAACGAATTTGTACTAAAACGTTACAGGTATTAAAGATCGTTGGTCCCAGAGGAGTTGAATACAATTCAGTTTTTACGTTCCTTTCGTACTGCTTCCGCTAAATCGATTCTTCAATTCTTCTGGTAAGGCTGCCAAACCTAAATTCTTACACATCAAGATCGCACAACAAATCGATTCTTCAATTCTCTGGAAGGCTGCAAACCTAATTCTACACATCAAGATCGACCAACAACGATGTCAGGTACGCAACCTTTTTTTTATTCAATTTATTTTGTTGAATCTAGTAGTTTGCATGATCTGGGTTATTATGGAATTATTTGAGATTAATTCATAACACATACAGTCAGCAAGAACCTTCAGATCTCCACCTAAAGGGAAAAACTCCAATCCGACAGTCATGACAAACTCTTTGAAATTTGAATGAGTTGCTAGCCTAACACGATGACCATAATCCTGCACACAAATATTCTAATAAACTGTTCATTATAACTGTTGCAACAAACTGCTCTATAAAAACATGCTCTTAAATATAAAACTCAGCCTTAAATTTAAGTTAGAAATCACTTAAATGTTTGTAGAGCTACTGCATAATCCACCAGAGTAAAACGCCATGTTACGGATAATACAATAATATGCCATGTGAGCATTATTTTCCAAAGGAAAACAATTACAAATTTTTGTATTAACAGATTATTAAGAGAGTGTTGCAACTGATTAAAAATATGAAATTTCTTATACATAGATCGAAAAGAAAAACCAAATAACACTACAAGAAAAAAACGAATTAGCGACAAAAAATTCTATCGCTAATTCCTTATTTTTTTGTCACTAATTTAGTATTGCCGACAAAATAGTGACAAAATTTTTTGTTGGCAAAATACTTGTCGCTAAAAAAATACGACAAAAAAATTTTTTATCGGTAAATTAACAGTAAAATTTTATCGCTAAATTTATTTTTTTTGTCGCTAATGTCATTGTAAAAGTTAGACAAACTTTGTCGATAAAATTTTTGTCGCTATTTTATTTGTATTTTATTGCTAATTTTGTCGTTAAATTAATTATGAAAATTTAAAAATATAATTTTTTAATGGTAATTTGTCATTAACTTTAATGATTATTTTAATGAAATAAATTGATCTTGTTATTAATTTATTGGTATTTTGTCGCTAAATTGTTGTTAATTTGACGCGCGTATCTATTGCG